TGAAGTGCTCAGTAAAATGAGGAAGTAAATATTGTATATACTCATGGTGTTTAGTTCTCAGACAGAAGGGTAAGACAAATACTTCCAGCTGTAAAGAGACAGAGCTTGTCTATCCAGCACTGCCAGAGCTTGAAAAGTTAGGGACTATAACTCCCAGAATCCCCAAGTTAGTTTGGTTGGGGGATTCTGGGAATTGTCCTTCAAAACGTAACTTCCCTGGATTTTTTTTTGTTGTGTCAGGAGCGACCTGAGAAACTGCAAGTCGCTTCTGGTGTGAGAGAATTGGCCATCTGCAAGGACGTTGTCCAGGGGGCGCCCGGATGATTTGATGAAAGATGCACTAACTGGTCACTGTCTGGCCAATGCCTGTTCTTTGTGTCCTAATCCTAAATTTGTTTAAATATGGATTTCTATAATAAACTATACAGGCTTGGTTAATTTTCATGTAATCAGCATTTTACACTAAAACCAATCTTATATTTAGTAGCTGTTTCCCCCAATTAAGCTTAAATAGGGTGCCAACTTTAGTCTGATCAAGGAGTTTGATTACTTCGGCACAGAATTTTGTGCGTGCAAGATCTTCCTCCCACTTGTATTTATAGTAGAAAGGAAGAACTTGGAAGTTATTTTTTGGAGCAGACTAACAGTCATACTGGTTAGGGGATTCTGTTCCCCAAAAGTAACATTTGTGTGTGTGTGTCAGGAGTGACGTGAGAAATTGTAAGTCGCTTCTGGTGTAAGAGAATTGGCCGTCTACAAGGACATTGACCAGGGGATGCCTGGATGTTTGATGTTTTTACCATCCTTGTGGGAGGCTTCTCTCACATCCCCGCATGAGGAGCTGGAGCTGACAGAGGGAGCTCAACATGCTCTTCCCGGATTTGAACTGCTGTTCTATTGATCACCAGTCCTGCCAACACAAGGATTTAACCCATCACACCGCCAGGGGCTCAAAAAGTAACATTAATAAGCTTTGTGACAGGACATCTTCACAAAGGGTTTCTTTTATCTTTTGCTTTTGGAGCAAAATCAGTTTGCAAACTAAAGAATGAGAGGACAAAGTCTTGAAGAAGTTTTTTTAATGATAATTGGTCATGATTCCTCATACTTTCCGTTCTGCCTCATCTTCTTTATTGTTCCTTTTTCTTTTTCATTCTAGTTTTTACTGTGGGGAAAGGAAAGCATAGTTTCAGTTTTGGTAAATCTGTACATAATAGAAAATGTGGGCTGGAAACCCATGTATTAGTGGAGCAGTGAAAAAAGTGTCCTTATGCATCCCTTGTAATCCCAAGTGCTGGCTCCAGAAATCCCTCAGGCTCTCCAAAATAACCTTTAAACATTAATGATGGTTTTGGGGTTTTTTTCCCACTGCAAAAACAGATGCAACCAAAACTAGTCACAAATGCCATGCCTTATCTCCAACCTCCTCCAAAGCCCCTGAAGGGGAAACAAAAACTGATGGAAATCTACTCACTTTGTTTCACCCTCTTTCTTCCTCTTTCCTCCTGGGTAACTTTCAGAATAGACTCTAAAATAGAGTCTCAGGTCAATCTGCACCAGAAAAACCACATAACCTGAATAGAAAGTAGTGGGTTTTTTTTTGCAAGATCATAAACTCCCACGCAGACTCCTGAGGCTAATTGCAAGACTCATCTCACTAGGTTGCAATTTAACTCCTAAAAATACCCAGTCTTGCTCTAAAAATGATGGGGGACTTCCCAGCCACTTCTTCTGAAAGTTCTGAGGGAAAAGACAAGTCACTATAGACTTTAGTCTATTTCACACATTTTGTTGAGTATCATAGAGAAGCCTCCCAAAAGAGGCTGTTGGCCATCTGTCGGGGGTGCTTTGATTGTGTTTTTCCTGCATGGCAGAGGGTTGGACTAGATGACCCATGTGATCTCTTCCAACTCTGTGATTCTATGAACACCGCATGAATATGTTGGAATACCACACTTATCAGCACTAGCTGATTGGGAATGATGGAAGGTGCCAGGCTGGAGAAGACATTTGGTCGAGGTGCACCTGGCACAAGGTGGGAAGTCTCCACATTTGTTGATGGCGTGGGTTTCCATAGTATGCCACTTACTGTCAGTCCTTTAAAAATGTGCCATTTCCTATGAAGTTATTACCATGAACTCAAATTTAATTCCTATTTCACTGGAGCGGAGAAGAAAATGCACTGAAAACTCTGTATGGTGCAGGAAGAAAGCAAAACCCCACATTAGATGTTGTGAGTCCTTTCCAAAGTAACTTGTTTTCATGATAATTGAGTCTCAGGATTCAGGAGAAACATGACAGACTTAAGGATTTTGTTGTATGCGAAGTTTGCCTTTGACTCAACAGCAAGGTTTTAAGCTTAGGAAATGGTTTCAATAAGGAGAGCAAAAGAAAAGGAATGTGAGGAATGGTCTTACAGATTCCAGTAGTTAGTTTGCTTTAGTCGAGGATCAACAAATGCCCCAAGGAAGAACTAAATTCAATAGTTCAGAAAGACAGAATGGAACTGATGACTTTGAAGTCTGGAGCTTGGGCAGACTTGGAGATGCCTAGTGCTAGCATTTCATGATTCTGTGCTTCCCCTCCCATGTTATCACAGTCTTCTGGCCCAGTGTGTAGGCTATGAGAAAACATCTCTTGTCAGCAAAAGGCAGTAAATTTCCCCTGCCTAGTCACCCCTGAGGTGAAGCCAAGTCATAACAAGCCCATGGAGATGGGTTGGGCTGCTGCGTCTGGGTTAGTTTCACAGGGCAGAAAGATCCAGGGTGCTCATTTAGAGCAGTTCCCTTACTGCAGACACTGAACTAAATTTCCTGTTTGCACATACATGCACATATGTGTTTGGACTGTGAAAAGGTTACTCTTTTGAACTACAGGTCTTCCCAGTCAACATGGTGGCCCAGTTGAAATCCTCTTTCCGAATACAGCCTTGCATCTACATTGTAGACCTAAAGCAGTTTGATACCACTTTTAACTGCCATGGCTGATTGCTAGGCAATCCTGGGAGTTGTAGTTTGGCAAGGCACCAGTACTCTTCGTGGCAGAGAAGGCAAAAAACATTGTGTAACTACAGCTCCCAGGATTCTGTAGCATTCAGCCATGAAAGTTAAAATAGCGTCAAACTGCATTAATTCTACAGGGTAGATTCACCTTAGGTCTACAATGTAGACTCTCGGGGCTTAATCGCCAATTTTCATAACGTTGTAATATTGAGCAAAGTTACAGTTTCCCCTGATATTAAGTCTAGTCATGCCCAACTCTGGGGGATGGTGCTCATCTCCATTTCTAAGCTGAAGAGCCAGCATTGTCCATAGACACTTCAAAGGTCATGTGGCCATCATGACTGCATGGAGCTCCATTACGTTCCCACCATAGCGGTACCCATTGTTCTACTCACATTTGCATATTTTCAAACTGCTAGGTTGGCAGAAGCTAGGCCTAACAGCGGGAGCTCACTCCACTCCCTGAATTTGAACCACCAACCTTTCAGTCAGCAAGTCCAGCAGCTCAGCAGTTTAACTTGCTGCACCACCAGGGTTATTACTTATTTACAAATATTGTTTATTTACAAATAAGTTAGAAACTACTTGAATCATGGAGCAACCATATCAATAAAAATATGAGTTGTGATAAAATTTTATTTATTTATTTATTTACACTATTTATATTCTACCCTTCTCACCCCGTAGGGGACTCAGGATGGATTACAATGCACATATACATGGCAAACATTCAATGCTTAGACATATGACATGTATAGACAGACATAGAGGCAATTTAACATTCCAGCTTTTTCTGGATTCATGAGGCCATGCTCGATTCTGGCCACAGGGGGAGCTGCTGCTTCACCGTCCATTGTGACCCTGAGTCCTTTAATAAAGACTTCCTAATTTTTCTGCATGCTACTGGAAGGTTTTATGGTGTCATAAATTAGTTAAATTAGCCTCTCCGCATAAAGCAGCACCTAAATTTCCTATTTGATAGATGTAACTGTCTTTCGGGCTGCATAGGTCCACTTGACAACGCAGTTGAATAATGACTTGACATGGAGACACTCACAATAATGTTTTTAAGGCTTTGTACTTTTTATATTATATTGTATGCTAATGTTTTTAATAGTATTTTATTTATTTATTTATTTATTTATTTACTGCACTTGTAGACCGCCGTTCTCAGCCCTAGGGCGACTCACGGCGGTGTACAACATATAAAAAACAATTTACAATAAAGGCAATATCACAAACAACAATAACAACATCACTATCAATAATACAATTACACTAAATCATTCGCGACGTCTCATCATAGAATCACAATCCAATCTCGTTATCCATATTCCGTTCCAATCATCATTGCCAATTTGTTGTAGCACTTAGTCAAACGCCTTCTCAAACAACCACGTCTTTAGTCTCTTGCGGAATGTCATAAGGGAGGGCGCCTGTCTGATGTCTACAGGGAGGGCGTTCCACAGCCGGGGGGCCACCACCGAGAAGGCCCTATCCCTCGTCCCCGCCAGGCATGGTTATGATTGTTTTATTTGTTATAATTGTTGAGGCATCAAATTGTTGCCAATTGTGAACCGCTTCGCGTCGCCTCTGGGCTGAGAGGGGTGGTATATAAATGTGGTAAATAAATAGGTCAACAGCAAGCTAGACTAATGGCCAGAAGCTCACTCTGACCCGGGCTGGCTTTGAACTCATGACCTCTCGGTCAGTAGTGATGTAATGCAGCTGATTCCCAGCTAGCTGTGCCGCAGCCCAGTCCAGAAAAACAGACAAGGCTTCTAGCAACTGCACCTTAAACTATATCAGTCATATTGGTCCTCTTTAGAAATATCATAGGGATAGTTTTCAGTGTAACACTGATAACTTAAAGGGTTTTGCTTCCTGTAAACACAAGTTTCTAATGTTCCTCTTCATGTGTAGTATACATCTTCCTGCTTCCAGAAATACATACACTGAATTAAAAATTGTTCTTTTTCCTTCTCTTTCTCAATCCAGCTCCGTGCTACTTATTCTGAGAGCAATTTGGCTTGTTTTAGTCGAGAAGATGTTTTACTACAAGACATGGATGCAGATAACATCGACGAGAGTGACCCCTGCTGGCAAGTCAAGTGGCAGCTCTCACGGTTAATCAAAAAGGTACTTGTCCTAGGAAATACACTCTCTAATGGAAACCGTCGCAATTATTTCAGTTCATTTTCAGGCTTAACTCAGTCTGGTAGCCTCAGATATCTCAGATGACAACCCTCTTGTCCAGCTGTCTCGTATAGCAGTTTGAGTGATGAACTGGAGTTTGGGAAAACCAGATTCAGCTATGTAACCTTGGACCAGTTGATCACATGCATATAAACTGAATTAATGCAGTTCGACACCATTTTAGCTGCCATTGCTCAGTGCTATGGAATCCTGGGAGCTGTAGTTTTACAAGAAGCTTAGCTTTCTCTGCCTAAGTGTGTTGGAGCTTCATCAACCTACAACTCCTGGGGTTCCATAGCATTGAGCCACAACAGTTAAAGTGGTGTCTAACTGCATTAATTCTACAGTTAGGATATACCCCCCCCCCCAGCCTAATCTGCCTTGTAGGATGTTGTGACACTACAGAAAGGAGGGATGTCATGTTCAGTGTCTAACTGGAAAAAAGATTGAATAGTAATATGACTGAATAACCAAAAACAACACTCATTTATTTATTTATTTACAGCATTTATATTCCGCCCTTCTCACCCCGCAGGGGACTCAGGGCGGATAACAGTGTACACATATATGACAAACATTCAATGCCAATTTTAACATACAACATATACAGCCATACACAGAGCCTATTTAACTTTTTCTGGCCACCAGGGGAGCTGTCGCTTTCATCGTCCATCTGCGACACTGATGAAGTACTTCCGCATTCCCCGCATGCTTTTTGCTGGAGTGCTTTGCTGGAATCTTTTTTTATGGCCTCATAAATTAGTTAATTTAGCCTCCCCACACTTTTAGGTGGTACCTAATTTTCCTACTTGACAGATGCAACTGTCTTTTGGGTTGCAAAGGTCGACAACAGGCTACACAATTGGTTGGAAACGCACTCCAACCCGGGCTGGCTTCGAAATCATGACCTTTTGGTCAGAGTGATCTTAATGCAGCTGACACTCAGCCAGCTGCGCCACAATCCCACGGAAAATGGCAGAATAACATTGTAGACCGCTCTCCCAGCTAAAGTATAATAAATCTGCATTAAAGGAACTAGGATGCAGGGCATTTCCTAACTGTCGTGCTCCCTTCAAAGAATATCCTATTTCCTCCAGCATGCATATCATGAGCTCCAGGAAGCAACACCTGAAACCAGAAGTGGGAAATTTTCCAGGGGTTGTATATTTTTCTGTGAAGCTTATAAAATAAAGTGGCACATACATATTGAGACTTTTTTTTTTCTTTTCCAGAAGTGTAATTTTATCATAGGAAATTTTTGTAACATAATTACACTTGCAATTGCAGATTGTGGCAAAGCACCGCCTGGAAGATGCAATTTCTGGTGCAGCCTCCTCGGCAACAGGTATTGGCACATTTGTACATCATGTTTGGTTAAGTAATATTTTTGGAAGTACTGTTACAAGGCATTGGTTCCCAACCTTTTTTTGACCAGGGACCACTTTGACCAGGGATTACTCTCCAACATTAGTACCAAAAGGGTTACAAATCAGTTTTTGGTCCACTTTCGATTTGGTTTGGCTATTTGGGATGCTGATTCAGAAAACTGCATTGGATAAACCACATCAGCTCTAGTTTCTGATTCAGAACATATGCTGTCTACTAGTTGCCATCTGCTCGCCCACAGAAAACCATATTTAATAATCTAGAGCTGATGTGGTAGTAGTAATCTTTTGTAGGTAGTCAGCCTCTCCCCTCCCGATATCCCTGTTGCCTCAGTATTATATTGTAAGAGAGTTTCATGAGACCAGTGGTGCTTGTTGTCATGTGGTTTCAAGGTGTAGTAATGGTGAGGCCACAGACTATATTTTCATTCTTGTGGGCCACCGGTTGTCCATGGACCAAGGAAAGCCAGTGCGGTGTAGTGGTTTAAGTGCTGAACTACAACTCTGGAGACCATTACCAGAATTGAAGTTCCCCACTACTACAAGATGAGCACCAATTTGATCAACTTTAAAACAGGATTAGACATGCTTGTGTATTAGTGTGTGACTCTCCATAGTTGCTTGGAACAGAATTGTGAAGATACTATCGCAGTCAAGCTCTGGTTTTGGGCTTTCAAGAAGCAACCATTTGGCCACTATAGGAAGAGAAGGCTGGACCAGATAGGCATTTGTCCTCCTCCAGCAGGACTCTTCTTAGACTTGGTTTCATTGCCATGCAAATAGTTTATGTGTGATCCTATTTTAGGTTAAAGCATTGGTGTTTCTGTTAATCCAGGTCACACTTCTCAAGTTTCCACTGCAACTGAAAGAGAAGCTTCCAAGAATGCTGTGCCCAGAGTGGCAGCTCACCTCACTGCAAACCAAAATTGGAGGCATCCTGAAACCATACAAAGTGAGTCGCTGAATTTATCTGTTCAGAGTGGTCAAGGAACTGACCTGGTCAACTGATCACCCCACACCCAGATTGTTCCCAGTCATGGACACCTTCCTATAAAAAAGTAAAAACATAGAAGTAATCCAATAGTGTTTTTGGTAATAATAATAATAATGATAACAACAACAACAATACTTTATTAATATTCTATCCTATCTCCCCGGGGGACTTAGGGCGGATTCCAACAAACAAAAGGCAAACATTCAATGTCTCAATAACAATAAGTACAACTATAATAACCCAGATTAACCCCACATATAGAACTACTTAAGCATAACAACTATAACTTCAATAAAATGTAATTGATCGAAAATTATAACTAACATAGAATATGAACATGAAACATCCAAATTAATATACAAAAGCATCTCAAAGGTTCACAAATATATGCATTGATTGTATGGCCAAAGATGTTAAATGGGCTATTGTGATCTAACAAGGCCCAAATACATTTCTACTTTCCAATCAGCAGTCTGGTAATAGTCTCTCTAGAAATGGTGGTTAAAGTGCTATGTGTTTTATAAACTTAAATGGTATTTTTCTTTTCTCTCTCTCTATCCAATTGCAGGTCTTCCATTGGGAAACAACCTGGGATATAAGATAAACACATGGGAGGCCTCAAGAGACAGCAGCTCATTTCTTTACAATCTAAGGTTGAACAATGGAGAGCTGGTCATACCACAGACAGGTGTCTACTATATCTACTCCCAGACTTATTTTCGGTTCCGTGAACCTGAGGGGGTGGAACCTGATGCAGATCCGGACTCTGACAGTGTTCGAAACCCTAAACAAATGGTTCAGTTCATTTCAAAGTACACTGACTACTACCCAGACCCCATCCTAATGATGAAAAGTGCTCGAACGAGCTGCTGGTCCAAGAAAGCAGGATATGGACTTTATTCCATTTATCAAGGGGGGTTGTTCCAATTAAACGTGAATGACAGGATATTTGTCTCTATCAGCAATAAAGATTTAGTAGACATGGATAAACCAGCAAGTTTCTTTGGAGCCTTCTTGGTCTCTTAAGAGAGAAAGAAAAATAAAGAGAATTCAAAAAACATTGAAAGGATTGGCTAAGAAATCAGAAGATAGAGGTTTGAATTGTATCACAAGGACATTCATTCAGTAGAACTGGAACAACTGCATATTTCCTACTGAATGGTTGCCATCCTGAACCACAATTCGATTTTGTGGAGAAACGAATGAATCGCAATTAGCCAACTTAAAAGGAAAACCAGGTATTAATGGTTGAAATACCATTAAATGACATCAGTTCTGTGAACTGTTTTCTAGCTGTGATCCAGAGTGTGTTGCCAACACAAAAAACTGTGTGCAACTCTTTGACAGAGGATCACACAGTAGAAAGATGTATGAAGCAAGACATGAGGATATGCCTCCATCACTCTGTAGTCTGGAGGAATTCGGGAGATTGATGTTTCCTAGACTGGAGCTACAATCTTTGTCAATATGACCCATCAGAATTTTGTCAAAGGAGTTACACCTGGTCAAGTTTTCCCCCGATTGCAAACCTTTTCACAACAGGATTATTATGAGAGTTCAGGAATGTCACAGAGAAAAGCTATAGACTGTTGAAAGGTGAAACGATGTGCTGAAAGGATTGAGTCCTGCTCATTGCCATGCAGAGCATAGCATGTGAACATTTTCCTATGGGATGAACATGTGCCTTTCACTGAGTTTGTAATCTGTGCAGTCTCAGGAAGGCAACCACATTATATTTCCAAACGTACTGCTCTGCTCTGTCATACTGTGAAGTTTGCAGAAGAGTGCAATGGATATCTTACTCCTTCGTTGCACGCTGGATAATAATGATTAAATCCGTTCACCCTGCCGTTGGAAAAGTGACCCTCTAAAGTCAGAAGTTTCAGGTGCTTCATTAAACATTTCCCTTTTGAGCAAGATTTCCTTTTTTGGAAAATAAATCCTCAGTCTTCCTTTGAAGTCAACATTCTAACAAAAATCCTTCTCATTGCCCACTTCCATAAACCTGACGCATCCTGGAAAGCATGAATACTGAAGAAACAGGAATTACTATTGGTAGCAGCCTTCGGTTGTAGGACACAAAAGACCACATCTAGGTGAAGGCCTAGCAACCTGGTCTGGAGTATGGTGAATTTGTGCAGGCAGCTTGATTTGTTGTTGCTTTTACTCTAGAATCTTTGTTCAATGTCCTTTACATGTGTGTGTTCTGTTTGTGTGCAATGGAAGCTTCAATCGGTTTGCTCTAGTGATCAGGGGAGTCCTCCCCAGTGGTAAATAATGGTTTCCATGCCAGTGATGACAATGAGCCAATACAAGATTTTAATCCATGTATTACAAGAGCTGACTGAAGTGCAGTACCCTGTTCACAATAGAGGTCAGAATCTTGGTGAATGCATTTAATATTTAGACCTGTGTTTCCCAAATTCTGGTCTTCCAGGTATTTTGAACTTCTGCTCCCAGAATCACTGGTCATTGGCCAAGGCATCTGCAACATCTGGGAGCTGATGTCAAAAAATATTTGGAGGATTACAGTTTAGGAATCACTGGCTTAGATTTAAGGCCTATGGATTTTTCGTCCCACTGTCATGGAAGACAAAATCCACTACTGCCCATCTCCAGTTAAGGTAGGCTGCAGCAAGGTGCCTGAATATAATTTACCCCTATTCCAATGGGCTGATAGCTGTGGTGAGCAACCAGAGATCAATGGTCAGTTGCAAGCACCTGCCATTCTAGATTCCCCATGATGTCCCAAGGAAGTGTTGCTCTGCATCATTGGGGAAATTTTAAATTGGCATGCTTTACAGTTGTCTGTGGGTCAGGTGAGAGGAGCAGACGGTAGTTGGCCAAGCCAAGCCATTCTCCCAACAGTGTGATGTGCCAACTTATCCAGAGTGGCTAAAATCAGATTCAAATACTTGTGAATTTGAAGTGGTTGATCAACTTGTTTCCTGCTATAACATCAATGATTCCCCACCACTGGCTTGGCCAGCTAAGTTGATGGAATACCCAGTCTCAATATGCTGCTGGTGCATGTTGCCCAGCCTGGTGCAAAACACTTTTTGACTTGGGCATACATCATTTAATTTATGTCCAGAGTTTTTGTCCTAAATGACTGCTGAAATGTATGGAGATGCAATATTGATGGAAGGGATTCTGTGTTGCATTTGCCTGCATTGCAATAAGAGCTGTAGTCCCTTGACATTGCACAATTATAATGCCGTGTTTCACTTGAATTGCCATGGGAACACCTGGAATCTTCTGGTTCATACCCTGATAAGGCATTCAAGCTCTCTAGCAGAAAATGTATAATGCCTCTCCTAAACTCCCAGAATTCCAGAGGAGTTGACTGTAGCAATTAAAGTAGAAACACAGTTTTAGAATTGTTTATTGTGAATGGACTTATGTAGGTACAGATTTCGAGAATCACAATATGTGTTTGTATGTGTCTTTGCATTGCCTCTTGTGCTTTCATATTGCTTGTGGACCTGTGGTCACCCCATAAATTTCATAGGGTTTTCTTGGGTGGTTTTGCTCATTCCTTCACCTAAAATGTAACCTACTGAGCCTGGTATTAATCTTTTATCCAAGTGCTAACTTGAGTTGTCCCACCTTGAAATTGTTTGAAAGATTACTTCATCAGTGCTGGCAAACTGATGGCAAAGATGGTGGAATTTCTTGATCCTGTTTTTGTCTATTTTTAAGGTGTGGTTATTCAGAGTCATCAGGAACTCCCTGATTTCCTTGTAATTTATTAAAACGGTCATGTTTTCCCCAGCTCTTAAGAGCTGGCACGAGTGACCGAAACAACATGACCCTGCTCTTCCACCCACAAATCCTTCCTGCGCACAGGAGTAGGGCAAGGTGACCCTGGCAATCTCCATGTTGGGCAGTGCTCTCATTTAACACTACTACGTAACTCTCTTCCCAAAAGAATATCAGAATTGCATAATAGCAAGAGAGAAAAAAGGAGATGGGTCTTCATTGTTTCTGCCTTAAATAAATTTCACAGCATCATCTGATGGAAGCTTATGTGGAAGAAAAACCTCACTATATCCAGTAAGGTATGTAGAAACAATGGTGGATACTGGTTCTCACTGTCAGTGAGGTGATAAGCCCACTCCAGATTTTAGTCTGAACTTTGAGACTGCAATTGAACCTTATGTCCAACAACCTCGATAATTCCACTGCAGTTTGGACTAAAACCTGGAGCCATATTGGATTTTATTGCTCTCAGAATTAGGTGCCAGATGTAGCATATTGTGTGGGTGTTTGTTTGCAATGCATGTAACTAGAAATGTGCTAGAGGCCCATTTCTTTCTCAACATTAAGAGAATAATGCATTGAATTCTCCCTTCCCAGGATGGTGAAGTGATTCTACTGAATAGGAGGTGGGAGAGGGGCGTCCTTTCTTTTTTTGAAAGCTTCCCACTGTTGAGTTTCCTCTCTAATATTGCCTTGGTGGTGCAATGGGTTAAACCCTTGTGCCAATAAGAAAGGTCAGAGTTTCAAATCCGGGGAGAGCGTGGATGAGCTCCTGTTGGCTCCAGCTCCCCATGCGGGGACATGAGAGAAGCCTCCCACAAGGATGGTAAAACATGAAAACATCCGGGCGTCCCCTGGGCAACGTCCTTGCAGACGGCCAATTCTCTCACACCAGAAGCCACTTGTAGTTTCTCAAGTTGCTCCTGACATAAAAAAAAATGCCTTGGTAGTTCTTGTGGCATTACGAAGCTGCCTCCACTCTGGACTTTACCATGATTCACTAATATGGGAACCACAATTACAAGTGGGGCATTGTCAGTTACTTAATCCAAGAAAAGTGGCAAATTTTATTTGATTTTTTAAATAGAAAATAAAAGACAACAGCAAATTTTCTCCTCAGCTACCTGGTATTTAGGTGAACCCTTCTCTCTCTTTCTCCCCTTGAATCCAAGAATAAAGTGCTAGAATATTGCTCTCCCCCATCCCAAAAAGTGAACAAAATATCTCTTCTCATTGTGGAAACAGCAAGAAAAATTGTTGGCCTATTGTGATATGTAACACAAAAATGGAACACAAATGTCCAGAGGGAGATGCATTTTATACAACTGTATTATATCTTGCTACATTTTGTAAATATTTTTTTATAAAACTTATTTTTTAAAATAATGTTTACTTTGTGTTTTCATTATTGTGCATGAAATTTTCTTTGGTGTTTCAAAGCTATTAGGAAACAAATGACCTTTGCTAACTACGGTTACCAAGTGGACGGGGGAAAACCGGGTGAAATCCCACCTGCTCACCTTTAAGAGAGGTGCAGAAACCAGCAGGTGAAACTTTTTCATGACACGGAAATAAGCACAATTGTCCGGTAATTGCTGCAGATCAAATTACTGTTTTTCAGCTATGGAAAGCAGCCCGTAGACATTCCTGTGAATTGCCAGCACAACACAAGATGATGGTTAAAGGCACTTTTTGTGGGTGCATCTGGCATTTGAGGTCAAGTTCCACACAATAAAGGCTCTGCGTTAGCATGTTGTGGAGGAACCCGAGTCATAAAAATTGAATGAAATCACAACACATTTGCAAATTACAACAGATGGTCATGGTGCTCTATTGTTTAAGTGTTATACATATCAATGAGTCTCAGATTAGTGCAAAACTGCAGCTGTTTTGTGCTTTGGTGCCATTTCAAATTTATGGCAAACCTATCAGGATTTTCTGCTGGCAAGAGTGTGTGAGTTGGCCAGAGTCGAGTGGGTTCTTCTGGCCAAGCAGAGATTCAAACTTTGGTCTCCCAAGAGTTGTAGGTCAACAGTGAAATCACTACACCATTCTTGATTTGCAGTGTAATCAAGCTTTTATCTACCTGAGTCTCTGAGCATGTACAAAATTTGTAGCAGAAAGGACAGCCTGAAAGAATGGGAAATAGTCACTACTCTCTTGTCCTGCTGGTGAATGTCTTCTAGATTGAGTATTACAGGAAGCAGGATGCTGACTTAGGCTTTTCATATGATCTCCCAGGTATATTACCTCTAATGTGTAAGTGACTAATAGGACTGGTCCTACCATTTGGCAAAATAAAATAGCTGCTTTATCCAGCAAATGTGCAGGACAGTGATAGGTTGGAAGAAAAAGTGGGTGAGCCATGTGAATTGCTCTATGCCTCCGCTATAGAAAATGGACCCTTTTCAGGCATTGTAGTTATAGAACTGGGGTTCATTTTATTTGCTATAGCAACATCTTAAGGAATGGGTTGTAGGTTTTTCAGGCTATATGGCCATGTTCTAGAAGCATTCTTTCCTGACGTTTCACCTGCATCTATGTCAAGCATCCTCAGAGGATGTGAGGTCACAACCACTGAGGATCCCTTCCATAGATGCAGGAGAAATGTCAGGAGAGAATGCTCCTAGAACATGACCATATAGCCTGAAAAACCTACAACAACCCAGTGATTCCAGCCATGAAAGCCTTCAACAATACATCTTAAGGAATCCTGGATTGGAGTATAGGAAAGAGTAGAAAACTCAGCAGAATTCTAATGCCTTGCCAAACTATATGTACTCTACGTACTCTTTCTATGAACCTGGGAGATATCTATGATCTGGGGAAGGCCTTCGCTTTAAAGTACATGGTTAATGACCGTTTTAATCACACTGAAAACATAATTGAAAAGCAAACAGCACATCACTTTCAAGCACCCTTCTGACAAGTAATCAAAGGTGGAATGTGAGCTTGGAGGGGGCAACCAAACCTCTCATTTTAAAAAAAAACCTGTGAAGGCCCACTGATACACTTTTTTTCTATGCTCTTACCAATGTGGTGGAACAGAGAAAGTCCTAATTTTCTTGTAACCTTGGTTTTGGCTGTCAGCCTGTTGAGGTTAAATAGCTTGCCATCTGTCCGAATGGTGATTTCCACACCAATGGGAAGTTTCCCATCAACAAGGTGCAGAGTAATACCTATGAAGATGGAAAATAAGGTTGGGGCAATAACATCCCTGTTTGACACCTGGTTCCACCTTAAATTGGTTACTCTGCAATCCATTGCTGTCCAAGACTGTTGTCATCATGGAAGAGCTAAAGGATGTTCACAAATTTATCAGGGTGGTCTAGAGAGCATTGTGATTCACTGTTGAATGTCTTTGCAAGATCAATGAGTGCCATGTGCAGAGGCTGATTTTGTTCCCTGCTTTTTTCTTGGAGCTGTTGTGCATTGAAGATCATATCCGCTGTTCCTCTGGAGGGGCGGAAGCCATTCTGGGGTTCTGAGAGGATGGTTTCACCCGCAGGTTCCCTGGAACACACAATCCCTCACACTATGACAATCAATCGGGGTGGGGGGGGGGGGGTTGCAAGAAAGTAGAGTTTAGGCTTATTTGGGATATTCAGATCTTGCAAAACATGAGGAAAACAATATTTCAGAGGCTGACATTGACATTTTGACGTCAACATCCACAGTGCTCCAGCCAGTCTTATCTGTGATTTCTAGAATCCATAGTACATAAAATCATGCTCTTCTGAATTCAGAGGATTTCAGAGTTATCTTCTGGCCTTGAAATCTTGGTGGGAGTGAGGCCACCACAGCCTCCTTACCAAAGGGGCACACGAGTAGTAGGTGGTTGCTTTCATGACAGAAGGCTGGTGAATCCACTCTTGAGTTTTAGTCTGAATTTTAAAAGAGCTAATCAAAGTGATGGACCACATTTCCCAAATATGTTCAGCAGTTTGGATAGCTTCTTAAAACATAGCCCAAAAGCCAGAGCAGGTGTACCGACCTGTAGCTTTTATTGGAACAAGCCACCTCTGAAATGCCAAAGATGGATTTAGAATTGAATAAACGGTGTGATTTTTCCATGCAGTGTATTAATTAACCTATGTAATTTGCCACCAAGAGGTCTGGTGACAGCCTTTTTCACTTAAGGCCAAACTACAAGCTATACTTAAAGTGCATATCCCTAGTTTTACTTAAATAAATGTAAACAGGCGTGTGTGTGTGTGTACACGCGCCTGCACTCATACATGAGAAATTTAGGTAACAGGAACATAGGCCTGTCATTTCTCTTTTTAGCCATCACTTGCCTCTCAGTCTTCCAAGAAATGTGCACTAGTTGAGGTGCTACATGTGTGTATTTCCACATGTGCAGTCCCACATAGGGAGAATGGGGCAGCTTTTCAGACTATGGAGAAGCAGGTGGTCTCAGTTTGGCCAAAGAAGTAAAACAGAATTGAGGAAATGGAATCTTGGGATTTATAGTTTAGTGAGGGCCAATGGTTCTCTAGTGAGATTTCTAAATATATTTTCCCCAAATGCAGGAAATATTAGCACTATAAGAATGTAGTGTGATAGGGTAGTTGTAGTCTTTGAAGGAAGCTACCGAGTTCTTGTGTAGCTTTTTTTTTACAACCAAATGTTAGACTCATCGTGGTTCTCAATATTTGGTTCTTCTTTTTTTGGACTTCCAGCTCCCAGAAGTCCCAGCCAAGTCAGCCAACAGTCAGAACTTCTGGGAGCTAAAGAACCACCCATTCGGAAGTCCAAAGTTTGAGAAATTCTGGCCTAGAAGATGGATCTTTGATTTCACTTGTCAAGATTATTCTTGCAGTCTTGAATAGCATTTCAACTACTGTTTTAGCTGTGTTGTGCTTGTTTTGATTTGCAACTTGCTTGGAGTCCAAATTTTGGGGGGAAACTAAGAATGCAAATTAAGACCATGATCACAATGACTACGATGTACTGCTGTCAATATTTCTGATGCCAGAGCAACTTGCACAACACCACGTTGTCCATTACTGCCTTTAGAACACACCTTTTGACGGTGAAATTTATACACTCTGTTCTTGTGATGTTGCTGTAAATCGTTTGAACAAAATCCACATAAGCGTATGCTGTAGTTCCATCTCAGTACCGAACAGAAGCCTTTGAATCAGGCAGACGTGTGGAACTAAAAGAAAAATCTGCTTCAGTTATGCAGCTTCCATTGTGGAGACACATCTTTTCCAAAAGTTGGAAAGAAAAAGAGGCGATCTTGCTTTCTGTCCTACCTTTTTTATATCCAGTTTGAGTGGTCATCTTTTTTACCACCTACCTTTTATACTTTTATAAATAATGACTCTCAATGGAGTTTAAACATATCCCCATGACAACAAATATTAATGTAACAAACCACTTTTAGATTTGCACAGAATTAGTTGGGAGAGACAGAACAATGTCAAAGGGGAGGCTATTAAAGATTTTCTTCAGCATGGATAAACCTGTTGCAAATACAATCTTCCCTTTCATGCTACACTTTTCAATGTATGGGAGTGTTGTTGATGAAAGGAGTATGATAACTTGAGAGAATCATTGTTGGTTTAGTTTTCAGCAAAGGTCACCTGAGGGCCTGACAACGTCCTCAGAGAAAGTCTATAATGCCAGTCAAACAGCCAAGATCACAGGGATGATGGGAGTTATCTATCTACGAGGGTTATCCAGAAAGTAAGGTTAAAAGATTTTTTTAAAAATACAAATAATGAATATATTTTAATAAAACTTACATGGGTTGTAGCATAGGTATTACGTTATTTTCCCACATAGTCACCATTCAGTTTGATTCATTTTGTTATCCGTGGGATGAGTTTTTGATATCTGTGTCTTAGAAGTTTCCTGCTGCCTTTTTCAGCCAGTTCGTCACTTTGATTTTCACCTCACTGTCATCAGAAAAGTGTTTTCCACCAAAGCTTTCTTTCAATTTAGTGAACAGATGATATTCACAGGGCGCAAGATCAGGGCTGGGAGAGGGGTGGCTTAAAACATCTCAACCATATGAAGTCAACAACTCTTGTGTTGCATGAGCGGACCGTAGATGCGCATCGTCATGAAGGAGACAGTCTCCCACCACCAGCATCCCACGACATTTGTTTTGGATAATAATAAAATAATAATAATAATAATAATAATCTTTATTTATTTCCCGCTCTCTCTCCCTAAGGGGACTCAGGGTGGATCCCAACATACAAAAAGGCAAACATTCAATGCCTCAGTAAAACAAACAATACTGACATAACAATCCCAAATAAGGCCACACACACACACACACACACACACACATATGAGAGACAACATTTTATTGCTCCATTGTATATAATGGGACATGTGTATCCATGGCTGTTGGTAAGGTCACTATAAAT